TATCAATGTCCACATACCAAATTAACTCAAATCTGTATCACATCACTGGTATACCCTATCTGATGGAAAGACTTAGCCATGTTAAAAAACTGTCATACCTTCAGTGTGTTTTCACAGTGCATGGGATGTCTTAAGTATCTCAGGAAGTTTTCAGAAACAGCTTCGTTACTAAGATTGATGAGTTTCTGAGCCACACACAGTGCCATCTTTCGCTTCCCCTCAATACAACAGTTATCGATTAACGGCAATGTAATTATGGCTGATAAAGCGCCTATACACAGATCGCACATGTGATCAAATCGTGCTAATGCATCTTGGGCATCAAGGGAAGTTGCAGCTGAAATGAGAAGTAACAAGGTGATGAAAGTAGAAGGAAAATTAATAAACAATTCCTTTATTGTTTAATAATATGCATGGAAGTACATGTACGTTGTTAGACCAATCCAAGCACATTGGGACTGCGACAATAAGCATTTCTTGAGAGTCATGCTCAATGAAATACACATTCACACAAAACTCACAATTCAGATGTAGCGATTCAATCCGGGGTATAAAAATAGTGACCAGGTTTTATTGTAAAGATTACACTGTTAGAGTTTTTACAAGATTTAAATATTACATAGACATGGAAGTCTTCAAATAAATCAAAATGTTGATCCAAATGGCCAGTGAAAATACGTCCTTTCAGGGCATGCAAAACATAAGTAACATTTGTATAAATGGTCATGGGTTTCATTAAGAGCCAGCCACCAACCACAAACCCAAATTGGCCATCTACTTTCTGGTCCCCCATTCCCCCGACCACCTACGCCGGCCTCGCTGTGCGCCTTGCACTGCCAAGAGCCTTTTTATTTATTTTTTTGACCTGTTGTTACAGGATGATGGCCTGCTATTAAATGCATTTGTGAAACCCCTGCATGGTGAATGATGAGGGGGTCATTCAAATTACATTTCCCAAGTACATACCTTCTAGTTTCTGAATAGTTGTTTTATCTTCCACAACACATGTTAACAAGACATCTATAATACCAGTGTGTACTGTAGATAGACTACTATAGAAACCATCACAGAATTCAAGCTGGCTCTGATCCAGCACTTCAGTGATGTATACCATACACTGAACGGAACAAAACAAATAAGTTATATTAAGTTATCATCACATCACATGTTAACAAGACATCTATAATACCAGTGTGTACTGTAGATAGACTACTATAGAAACCATCACAGAATTCAAGCTGGCTCTGATCCAACACTTCAGTGATGTATACCATACACTGAACAGAACAAAACAAATAAGTTATATTAAGTTATCATCACAACACAATTAATAGGTGATTTTCCGAACAATTGCGAGATCTCGCGAGATGCATGAAAGACGCGCGTCGAACGTCTGCTGCAAAAATCGAACGATTTGATTTTGAACTAGAATTTCTTTATTTCGCAGCTTACATTGACCGGCCGATCTTCGACAGAGGAATATTGCTTCCGAATACCCTCACTTAATCGAAATTGCCTATCATCAAATGTGGACAGCACATTATTAAGCATGGAAATGTCCCCGAAATACTTTCGCGTTTGTCGAATCCCACGCGATGTTTGACGCGACTACGACGCTATGACCTTTGTTTGTCCTGTTTTTACGTTTGATTTCACGCATAACGCGTGATTCTCGCAGTGTACGGAAAATGGTCTATTTGAGTGCAACCATTATTTAGTAAATCCAAGCAATATAACGATATAAATCATAATTATGGTAATGTTCTTGATATCATAGCATCTTATACAAGATTACAGGCACCACCTGAAGTCACCTGTGTATACGCAGGGATTGAGTCATATGTGATGATAGCAATGACAATTATGGATCTCTATCGCATGCGCAATGATAATTCCCTCACTTTAAGTCAACTGGGTGTTGGTCAAGGCCAATTTCAATTATCCTGCCTATGGCTATCAATAGTAAAGGATGCAGAGTAGCACCAGACTGGTGTGACCATCGTAATGAGGTATTTCCAGAAGGTGAATTTTGTGTTCAAAATTAGACCAAATGAAAGATTTGAGCTATCTGATTTAATAACTGATAGAAATGACAACAATTGTGAGCATCAATGAAGGTCTGCTGTCTATCACTGTGGTACCAAATGGCTGTAAATAGTAGCCACATTTGGACACTTTAAGAGTTTTCATTAATGCCATCAATCTCTTCATTATTGCATTTTGTAGACCGTAAGATATAAGTTGTTACAAAACAAACAAGTGTCCTGGGATGCCATGATAGATTTGTAAGACAATTGCTAAATTTCATATTGATACCATAGGCTCAATGAAAGAAACGGGAACCCAGTGCAGTGTTTATGGAATAACATTTGCACAGCCAACAATGTGATGACACTTACGTAAATGACATGTTCTCTGAGTGATAGACTCTCGTCTTGTTTATATGTAAGTAGCAACGGCGTTAGACGAATGAAACTCAGTCCTAACGTCAGAAAATCTTTGGTACTAAACACAAATAAAAGAACATCAATAGAACACATCCATTCTACAAAACAATACAAAAAGTGCTTGCAATCAGATTTATTTACTGCACTGTCTAAATATTGAGTTTTGCATTTTGATTTAACCATAGATCTTTATAATAGTAAAAACTAATCAACAATTTGTTGGTGCAATTAGGGCAATGCAGTGATTGAACTGAACAACTGACTGGATTACCTGTCTAAATCTAGGGATGCTCCAGCAACACATACAACATAGGAAGTCACTGTTGACACCAAGTCCATTAAAATTTGTAAACACCATGGTTGCTGGAAGAAAGTAACACATCTTTAATGTTAACAAATTCATCGTGATTGTTCTCAGCAATTTTTTTCATAATTTGTTCTAAAAATAATTAATGTTGGTGGAAACTCTTTAAAAATAATTGAAAATGTCATGTATGCTTTTGTCCTCATTTTTCTTTCCGTCTTCATTTCTCTGGTTGCTATACGCACACTTAGTGATACTGCTCTCATTTGCCATCACTGTGTTTTCACTTTATACATGTAATAATCGAAGCAACACATATACTGTAATTTACTAACTAATTATTCTCACCTTTTTCACATTAGTCTTTGATTGCAATTGTTCTAGTAATCTTAATGGTAAATTGGGAATATCAACAATCTTTACAAACTCTTTCAGCAAGTTTGGTGAACTGAGCAAGAAATTGAAAAAAAAAAGAAAATGATACTTACAATTTACAAATCACATAGTGTAACCACAGCATTTGTGGACAGTCAGAATCAAAAGTTTTAAGGGTACTGTAGTCAAACTTTATTTTCACCAATGAAACAAAACTCACTTTTCTCAAACACATTCCGACATCATCAGATTATTCAAAATAAATTCTAACTAAAAGTTTTAGTTGCATAGTTTGAAGAAAAGAAACTTTGCAACAAATTTAAAAGGATGGATGGCTGTTCACAGTCGCAAACTGGAGATGACAACTGATTTCAAAAGCAGTCACGGCATCCCATCACGGACTGCCCTGACTTCAATCAAACTGCTTTTATAAAACACATTTCAGTGCATTATTTCTTATATTTTGTAATATAATTGCCCCCACCCCACAAAAACAACCACCACCACCACCACCATTTGAATCCCTGAGCATTTAGAAATTATAATCATGCTTACCTGGAACAAGATAATACATTCATAACAACACGTAATGCAGTTCGTAATCTGGAAGCGCCTTGTAACATTCCATCCAACACTTGTGATGTCGCTGATTTTAATCTGGTAGCCAGTTTAGTGATAAATGATTTGTCTTGTAGTAGTTGATTAACTGATTGTGGATCTGCTGTCGATGGGTCGGTCATTTCACATAAATCATCCCATTCATCTTCACTGTCAATTTCCTGTGAATGTAGGTTTATTTAGATTTTTCAATAAAACTTACACATACTCCTAAGTGGATGGAAAAAATAACAACAACTATTAAAAGAAAATGAAAAAAAAATGATGTATGAAATACATTTTATACATGCATGTTTTTTTTCCAGAATAGTTAATAAAATTCAGTATGAAATGGTAAAATTATATTCTCAAAATATTTTATTCCCAGAATGAACCAATGCAATTATTATACAAAATCTCCTATTCATTTTTAAAGGCTATACTCAACCAATTTTTGGTTTAAAAATGGAGAAAAAATGCCCCAGACAGATTTTTTAGCTAGGAGCCTGAACCTGATTTTTTTTTTCTAAATAACTGCCTCAGTTTAGGTACAGCAAAATAAAAGAAATATCAAAATCAGTGTCAAGTACAGTCCTCCCTCTCCACAACTTCAGCATTCAAGTTTTTCTGCACTTTTTTCTTATATTCCTTAATATTTCTGGGAATGAACCCTAATTTTGGAGCCAACTGACAAAATTTGAGTCAATATTCAGTTTTTACTCAAAAAATTTGGCTTTTTTTGTCCCAATCTTCTGAAGGAAAGTGCAGACTATAAATGGGACAATTTTGCGAATTTGTAATGAAAAGAGGGAACTGGTGGTGAAATTGTCCACCCACCACTGAGGCATACCTCATCTTCAAGTTTGACATTTTCAATACTTTTTCTACTGTCCTTCTTGATAACTTTTCTACTCTCGATTTCAACACTTGGAAATTCTTTCTCATAGTCTTTTTCAATTCTATCTTTCCTGGGTGTAGGGTTCTTATCTTCAATCTTGTCTTCTGAGTCTCTCGGTTTTGATTCCTTGTTTTCTTTCGTCCATGCATCTTGCTTTACAGGCTGCTTTTGCTGGAATGTAAAAAAAAGAGAATTAATGTGTCATTTAACCTGCACGTCACATGACTTGCAAAATCGTGGAGAATGATCATATTTACTCTATAGTATTAGAATACATGGATACTTAGTCAACATCTTATCTTAAAGCAGTTTGAGAAGAATTTAAATTTTGCACTACTGAGCATGTTGCTTCACTTATGTGCAATACATTATGAGAAAGAATGTCCCATTGTGTATAAAACTATCATCACACTGAAAAACTCTAAATTCAATGATGATGATGATCATAAATTCAATGATTTTAACAATATTGATAATAATATATAACAAAATTTTCAGATATGAAGCAAATACATTTTTCGAGACATTTTAAAATTTGTTTTTTTTTC